TTAGAAATTTTTATTTCTCACTACGGTGTCTATAATTTTTCTAACGGATTCTTAATTTTTTCTAACGGATATAACCGTTAGAAATTTTTGGCCATATATTTCTAACGCCATTTTTCTAACGGAATTCCGCCGTTAGAAATAATAATTCCAACATAACATGACTGTTAGAAAATGTCCATTTTGGTGTAGTGATATAACATTTGTTTAGCTATAATAAAATAAAATAAAATATATTTCAACTTGGCGAAACTCTTTGAAGTTGGAGATATACAATGTAAATTATTAAAAAATGCCAAGAGTGATGGAGAAAAAGTTTAAATTCTTGAAATCGATAACAAAATGATAGAAGAACTCAATATAACTAATTATATATAATTGATCTAAGACATTTAATTCAAATCAAATGCAAGAATAAGTGTAAAAAATTTCGAACGAATACTTAGACTACATAAAATATCACATTTCAACATCAAATTAAATATATTTTCTATTTTACCTATGTTTTCTCTTTCACCTATATTCTGTACAAATTTATAAATTGTCCACCGCCAAACTAATTAGAATATTCACAAAAAAATTCCACCATTTTTCACTAGAATCTTTACCACATATCCTACGCTCTCCACCTTAAGTGAACGACGCATTCGTCAGAGAAAAACACCTGAATGTCAAAAGAAGAAGGAATTCATGTTCTTGGAGAAATAAACTAGGAACGCTTATTTAGAAATAAATTTAAAAAAAAAAATCAGAGATTTTTGATATTATTGTTTTCAGTGGAATAAATTTTAAAAAATTGGTATTTTATCCAACACATTCTTGTTTTACCCTTTTAGGTTTCATTGCAAAAAAAAAAAAAAAAAAAAAAAAAGAATTTAGAATATATGAGGATTAAGCGAAGGGAATGTGGTGGATTACAAATTTGAAAGGTATTTGTGATATTTTATATAAATTTGGTGGTGACTTGAGATAATTTGAAGGTAAAAATAGCACCACTCTAAAATAATATAGTTATGGTTATTCAAATTGTTGAACTATTTATATATTTTAAATATTTTTTAATTCTATGACTAGTATATGGAGATTGGAGAAGGGTACAAAACATTATTTTGGAACACCTAATTTATTTCTAACAACTTGAGGGTCCGAGACGACTCCCTCTCTTGCCTATAGTCAGAAGCGACCCCGATTAGTTTTAGCTTAAATTATAGGGTAAATTATGAAAACCTCCCTGAGCTTAGGCTAAAATAGCGAAAAACACCCCCACCTATCCGTAATAACCAAAATCCCACTTTGATTAACTGTTGATCGAGTTTTTTAATAAAAAAATATGTACAGTCTAATATACCTTATGTTAAATAGGTGAAAAATAAAAGAAAATATCTGAAACTGTGTAAAGTCTGCTCCCTATAGTAAAAATAAAATCTATGAAAACTCACGCTGGAAGGGGGTTAGTGTAAGACAGAAACAAACCTCATGAGTTTTTTGGTGATTACGAATAGGTGGAGGGGTTTTTGTAATTTAATCTAAGTTTAGGTGGGTTTTCGTATAACTTATCCTAAAATGTATGATGAAAATTGAAAATATATTTGATCTACTTTTATACTTGCGAACTAAGAGTCAATATAACGACCCACCAAACACTCCCGAAAACACCCCAAACCAATTTGATTGGTGAAGTTGACTTTTGGCTACGATAAATGACCATAGTAATCCAACGGTCAGAAATATTTATTTAATTAATTAATTAATTAATTAAGTAGAAAGTTAAACCTAATAAGATACGGGGAGATCTTGGAGAAGAAGATTTCAACGTCAATCACGCAAACATCCTAGACACCTACTTCTCATCACCACGTAATGTTATGTTATGGTGGGCTCCCACTCTTTGATTAACATTCTTAATTAACCCCCATTTTTAACAACTTATTATTAATGCTATATACATATACATATACATAGGGCTGTCCGTTGGTTGGTTTGGTTAAAAACCAGGCAGAAAACCAACCCAACCCATCCAACCAACTTTGGTAAATATTGAAAACCGTTATCGACCCATTTTACATGGGTTGGGTGATGGTTGAAAACCAATTTGGTGGGTCGGTTGGTGGTTTGGTTGATGGGTCATCCATCTAAATATTTTTTTAATTTTTTTTAATATTTTATTAGTTGTTACAACGCTATATCTCTTATAAATTAAATGTGACTAGTTCAACAATATTCAAATAAAAGATTCAAAACATTACGGGCATATATATTGCAATTAAACATAAATATTTCAACAAATAATAATCGTCCAAATATTTATAGGCTATGTTTTAAAATTAAAATAGTTCACATAAGATAATTATGTTAAATTTATTGCTTTTGGAATTTTGGTCAATATTAGACAATTTAATAAATGTGATATAAATAAAAATTTGAAATTAAAAATATTAAATATTTTAATTAAATTTAATAAATAATAAATTAATAAATAAAGTTGGTTGGCCGATATTACCCGACTAACCAACTTTTTAGCATATTAGAAACCATTATCGACCCAACTATACATGGGTTGGTTGATATTATCGACCCAACTTAAATGGGTCGGTTGATGGTTGATTATCCATCACAAATTATGGGTCGAAAATGGGTTGGTTGGTGGTTAAAACCGATCCATGCACAGCCCTACATATACATACAAATTTGTGATGTTTTTAATTTACAAAGCTACCCTTTTTTGGCATATAATTAGGAACCAACAAGTTCTCATGCACGTTTATTAGCTTTCAAATTTAGGCACCCGTGACATTATTATTAAGATTTAAAATGAAACTATCTAACTAGTGCTTCGAGGGTTATATGGACAATGTTTGGTTATGTTTTCATACAAATTTTTTTGTTTTTTTGTCTGAAATGTATTCTTGTTTGATAAGGTGTTCGAAAAAATTCTCTTCTACAGATATGATGTGACTGTTACGGTAAAAAATATTTGACTGCTGCGGTAAAAATATTTGACTGCTACGATAGAAATTGTCTCACTAAAAAACTAACAAACACCACTTTATTTTTCAAAATTTTCTTCAACAATATATTTTCTTAAAAACTTTGGATTTAACCGCTACAATGTATTTTGGCTCATTTCAAATTATAAACAGATATACTTTCGTTCTTATTTTCTTAAAACACATTTTTCCCAAAATTAAAATGAAAATAACTCGCAAAATGTATCCAAACTTTGCCATGACACCTCAATTTGGACGAGATTTGAAATTTAACTCGATTTGTGTCGGATCGGATCTGAGAAATTTGGAATTTCATTTTTAAGTGCAATTTTCGGTGGGGGAGTCATTTTTCTTGGTAAAAATAGATATTCGAAAATTAAAATTGGACAGTAAATCAAAATCTTATATGTGTTCCCAAAAAAAGTTTGAAAATTTGAAAATCAAATAACTCAGAATATAAAATGAAAAATATTGTTTCAGAATTGATAATATATACATATATCAAAACGGAATTGGCGGAATTCGCAAATTCTGATCCATTTCCCAACCCTAATCCTACTCACACACAAAAATAATAATAATCAAAACATTCTTGGCTCTTCATGCATAACTAGGTCCAAACATTAAACTAGTTAGTGGAAGAATATATATTGGGAAAGCAAGAGAGAGAGAGAGAGAGAGAGAGAGAGAGAGAGAGAGAGAGTCAGGTGAAGTGAATGTGAAGTATGTTAATAAGGGAGTCAGGTTACAGAGAAATGGGCTTCACGATACCTCATTGGGGCTCGTTCCACTATATATATATAATATAATATAATATAATTTTTTTATACACAAATTAAAGATGTGATTTATTTTTTGGTATAATTAATTTTGGGTTGTGTTTAAAGACTGTCAGCCAATTTAGTTCCACGATATAGCAACAATTAGGGTTCTTTACTATTAAAATTGGCAACTGTTCAAGTAAACAAATAAAGGGAAGGCGATATATATATTTGGAAGATAGAAAAATAATAATTAAGTACAGGAGATTACTTCGCCACTTTGTCCGATTTTCGTGCTATCTTTATCGGTAGTACGAATTTCACATATAAATTAAAATATGGATTTTATTTCTATAAGAAAAATTTAACAAACGTACTGTAAATAGATCTGACCTAGCTGGTAGAATAAGAAAACTGTGACGATGTTTAATAACTCGAATTCGGTTTCTCACTAAATACACTATAGTCATAGAAAATTAACTAAAATTACGTACTATAGTTGAACATCAAAATGTTACCACTTGAATCTTGTGGATTACCAAATCTTGAATTAAAAATTGACCTATATATACATATATGTATGTATGTATATTATGATAATGTTTTCGTTGGACTTTTAATCATGTGACAACTGTTTGATGCAAAATATGATGATTACATGTTATTTGATGTTTCCCATGATGAAGTGAATATGTTCATCCTAACACAAAAGAACAAGAAAGAGCCTATATATATACATATAGATATATATAGCTAATAGGTAGCAAGAAATTTGAAACTCACACTCAATCATTTGATACTTCAACTACCCTAGCTAGCTACAACACTCACATGCATCACATTTTCTCTCACAACAAAAATAGCAAATTTAATTGACACTTGCCCCTCCCAAATTCTTCATGCATATATGTACATATATATAGTTAAATTAGTATTAGTAGAATCTAATTGTGGATTAAAAGAAAATAAATCATCAAAGGGTAGTTTAGTAAATTGTTATTATAGTGCAAAAAATAGACAAATGCAATTCAGTGGGTCCCACAAATGTTTCTTGGGTCGTGTTCCCATTTTTTACACTTAAAACTTTCTTCTTCTCCGATTCTTGGGATGTCCGCGACCATCTCTCTCTCTCTCTCTCTCTCTCTCTCTCTCTCTCTCTCTCTCTCTCTATAGATCTCTCTCTCCATACATAAAATTTACTTGTATAAATACCCTACACATGCAACAAATCTATTAAACCACACTCCCTATTGCTAATTCCTCTCTCATCTCTCTAAATTCCGTTTCTCTCACTAAAACCACATAGTCACATACATATATAGATACATATAGTTGAATATATGTATAGCATGGCGGAGCTCGACTACCAAAACAAGCCATGCAACAACAAAAATGGCCGCTTGAAACTCTTCGGCTTCAACATGACCCACCACCAACAGGATCAAGAAGAAGTTGACTCCGGCGGCGGATCGCCGCCGCCGGCGCCGGACGGCAGAAAGTACGAGTGCCACTACTGCTGCCGCGAGTTCGCCAACTCGCAAGCCCTCGGCGGCCACCAGAACGCGCACAAGAAGGAGCGGCAGCAGCTCAAGCGGGCGCAGATGGAGGCCAGCCGGAACGCCGCCGTGTCCTACATGCGGAACCCCATGGTCGCCGCCTTCGCCCCTCCGGCGCACCTCCTCCCCGCCCCGACCGCGGGTTCCCCGTCGTGGGTTTACGTCCCACGCGCCGCCGCCGCCGCACCGTTCAACGTGTCGCACGGGTGCGTGTTCCCCGGAGGTGGTTCGACCAGTAGCGGGAGGGCGGGTGTTGGGAACTTATCGTACACCGGCAGCGTAGGGGAGTCTGGCCTGACAAGTGTGGGCCCACACAGTGGGAGACTACTAGATCGGCCCTCTTTGAGTAGATTTTCTAAAGAAGAAGATGGGCCCACATTTGATGATGGATTTGGACTGGATCTACACCTTAGCTTGGCTCCAGCCGCGCCGTGAGTTTCTTTAGGCTCGGCTTGAGTTTTAGGCTCGGCTCGGATAGTCAGTAGTGCACTAGTACAGAAGCTGTTTCCTTAATTTCTTCCTCATCCTATTTTGTACATTTTCAAGACTTAATTATTTATTTATTATATTTCTCAAGGAAAACAAAAATAAATTCTGGCATTTATTTCTTTATTAGTTTTCTATACTTTGATCTGGAATTTTTAAAATTATTAAATATTTATATAATATAATCTAATCGTACGTCGTTGGATCATGGATCATTGATGTATCATGTACATGCATTGGTGAGTATATAGAGAAGGTGCCGGCTCAGTTTCCGCCGGTCGCCCGGGAGGATTTTTTTTTTTTTTTTTTTTTTTTTTTTTTTTTTTTTTTTTTTCTTTTT